CCGCGCTCCAGCAGCCATGGGCACCGGGGCTGGGCGGGGGGCGGCGACCGCGCCGCTGCTGCTGGCGGTGGCCGCGCTGCTGCTGGGTGCCACGGGCCACCTGTACCCCGGAGAGGGTGAGTCTGGGGGTCCGGGAGTGGGCGGGGAGCAGCGCGGTGGGGAGGGGGACCCCTTGCCAAAATGGAGCCCACCGCCGTGGACCCAGAGCCCTCCTCGGTGCGTGTAGGGGTGCGGGTGGCCAGGACGGTAGCTTCGGCCCCGCGTGGGGCGGGAAGCCGCTGACCTTGGCCTTTGCCCGCCTGGGCTCGCGGTTCCGCGCCCCGTGTGCGGGCCCCGGGCGGGAGGAACCTTGCCCCAGTGCCCGCCCCGCCGCGGGTGCGTCTCCCAAGCGCGCCTCGGACCCGTGCCTAGTCCTCTCCGAGCCCAGCTCGCTCCGGGGACGCGACACGCGTCTTCTCCAGGTCCTCTGTGAAGTGGGGTCCCTGGGTCCAGGCGGCCTTGGACAGTTAAATGCCGGGGGCGCACGGGTTTTGGAGCCAGAGTCGAGGGTGACTGGACTGAGGGTCCCTTGGGGTCCCTGTTGATAGGTGCTCCAGGGGGAGAATGGTAGAATCCTAGCCCCTCTTCCTGGATCTAGGCCCGTGGCTACGCGGACTTCAGATCCATGTTTACACTTTTGGGTTCTGTTTCCAGATGTCCAGAGGCAAACTCTAGCGCCTTGGCAACAGGGCCTTTGTTGTAGCAGAAGCAGGGGTGTCTTTATCATGATCATTATAGTGTCACCAAAAGCCATGAGCTTATCTCTTTGCACCTTCACCATGCCCCCCCCCAGTTGATACTGTTTGCCCATTTCATAGAGGAGTAAACTGAGGCTCCTGTAGGAGACAATTCGACTTGCTCAAAAGTCAGTGCCAGAGGGAGTAAGAACTCGAACCTTTCTGTGTGGTGCCCTTGTGGGGCTCTGGACTGCTGCTGCTGGATGTCCCATGTCCCCCCATAACCCCCGCAGCCCCACCTCCAGCTCTGCCCTTCATGAAGGGCTCTTTACCTGTCAGCTCAGGGAGGTCTCCAACCTCAGGTGAGCCTCTCATACCCCCTAGCCCCATGGACTTCCCTCCTGGGACTCCCTGTGCTGGCAGCAGATGGAGGCAAACCCCAACTCCAGCATCCTCTTTGGGCTTGGTAGCAGGCCTTTCTGGTTGGGGGCAAGAAATGAAGAACCCGTTACGAGAACATGGCTGGAGTTTCCCACTGGTGTCTGAGGCCCTGCTTTAAAAATATCTGTTGGGTTACTTTTTCAGAATTCTCCATAAAAGGAAATCAGTCATGGTGAGGAAGGGGTCGGGGAGGGAAGGAGCCGCAGCTCCTGAGCTCCGTGACGGTGAATGAGGTCCATGAGAAAGACCACAGGGGCTCTGAAGTTGACACCCCAGGTTTGCTGAGTTCCTCTCTGTTACACAGTGGGTCCAAGGCCCGAATGCTCAGTGTGCAGTGGGCACAACAAAGGTAGCAGTTGGCTTGGGTTCTCATTAGGAGTGTATGTATGTGCGTGTGCACAAGTGTGTGTGTGTGTGTGGTTCCCTGCTCTTCTGTTCCTTGTAGCTTTGGTAATTAATTGTGGATTTGTGCCTGGGCTTCCAGGGGCCAGTAGATGGGTTTACCATTTCTTTACGTATTTACAGTTCCCACAAGAGCAGAGGCTTAGGCTTCTTTCGTTCACAGCTACGTTTCCAGAGCGTAGAACAGTGCCTGGCGCATAGAAGGTGTTTGGTTAAAATATTTGTTCTTGAGTCAGTTCATGTTCTTCGTGTTCTCACCAGTACTCCAAGCCGTGACTCTTTTATTCTTTTTTTTTTTTTAAAGATTTTATTTATTTATTTGAGACAGAGAGA